AAATGTTTTGAAGAGCATGCAAATGTTGGGGATATGTCGGCGAAATACTGGCAAGGTTATTATTATTTAGAAGGAAGGTACGTTGAAAAAAATTTCGCAAAGGCCAAAGAATTATTTAGAGAATCGGCGGATGGTGGAAATGCTGATGCTCAATTACGTTACGCTTTTTGTTTGATTGATAAGAACAACAAGAACAACGATGAACAGATTGATCATGATACCTTTTTAAAATATTTGAAAATGTCGGCCGATAATGAAAATTCTACTGCTCTTTATAATCTTGGTGAAATATATTTAAATGGTAGGATAGGTTTTGAAAAGGATCAACAAAAGGGCATTCAATATTTAAAATTGGCTGCCTTGAAAGGACACTCAAAAGCAAAAGAGATTTTGAAAAACAATGATTTTGATTTATTTTGGTAATTAATTACAATTTATGTAATGCTTTTATTTGAAATTATGAAATTAGCAAAAGCTGTCGTCATATATCAAATTGTAATTAAACTGTACAATGAAGGTTTCTGGAGAATTAAGAATGTGCAAACTTTGCATTATACTATATAGTGGACGAATTTTATTTTATTTATCAATAAAATATACCGTTTTACGGAAAATTTTTGCGCAATTTATTATAATAAAGTTTTAGATAATTTATTCACTTTAATATTTATGTTTATCTCAATATTGAATCAAAACATGGTTCAATAGTAACCTCCCATTGATTTTTGTAATAGTGCGTGCTCAAAATAACAGGTTAAATAAATTAATAAAGAATGCGTGCTCATCAAGGTAACTCAAGAAGATGCGTATATAAAATACGTTAAAAATAGATTTGTGCTCAAAATGCTCAAGAGTACGTTGTTTGTTTGATTCCTTCTTTTATATCATTCAACCATATAACATAAGCATTTGACAACATTGTTGTATTAGTTTAATATAACCTTCTTGGTAACAATTGGAGGACGAACATCACATATCATGATCATGATCCCAAAAGATCTAATGTCCCACATAAATATCCGAAGCCAACGCGACTATAAAGTTAGCAATCATAATTAAATACGTAATACCTCGCAACTTAAAAAAAATTAAATTAAATAAGTATACCTTGTTTATTTGCACAAGGCTATATGACCCGTAACGTAATATTAATCGCTATAAAAATGAATCTATTATTGTGTTTGAGTATTGATGAAAATAATAATATAATTTAAGCTATTAATAAAATAAATAAAAATAAATAAATAAATGATACTCACTTCTATACATTTAATTAATTTTTAGTATATTGCTGAATTAATAGAAATGTTATCAGCTGTCATGTTTAAATTATGATTTGAATATTATTTAGTATCTAAAATGGTTGTCCCACGCACCTCAATGATTTATTGAATGAGCTAAAGTCTTTTTTTCGCCATCTTTATTTCAATTGATCGTAAAGCTTATGCCAACATTGAGGGAGGTGCATAGGAACGGTCTCATCTATATTTATTAAAAAAAAATTAAGAATGCTAAATATAATTAAAAAAAAAAAAATCAAAAAAAATCAAAGTTGTATTTGCCATTAAAAATTTGTCATAGCTTGAAATATAGTTTTTTAGCAAGAATATTTTGATAACATGGATAAATTGTTGATTAAAGAGGAATGATACTTAATTCCATCTTGCTTTTTTATTGATTAAAGCAACATAATTCGTCTTCTATGAATAAATTAATATCAGTAAGTTTTTCAAAAAGCAAATTTGCTAAAAATGAAACTTGTTTTTTATTTACAGAATTTACTCAGTCATTGACTCCGACTTCAACGCTGAATTTACTAGTTTAAAAAGAAGAGAAGAAAGGAGTCGTATCAATTACAAATTTATTACAAATATCAAAATATCCTATATTGTCACCAAGTATAGGCGTCAAATCGGGTAAGTATTTTTAAAAATTAAAACCGCCTTATGCGTCTTGTGTTGATTTTAAGGCGATGTCGGAGCGTAGCGTCGAAACGGATAAGTATTTAAAAAAAATTATTTCTACATTAAATCACTGTTAATAAACTAAAATTTTTGGTCATTATGATCGTCAAAAAATTATTACAGCTTTTTCAGCACTAAACGGTATATGTTTTTTTCATGGAAATCGTGATGATCTTGTATAAAATTTCCCCGTAAAATTCTAATTTTGGGTTCGATTCAATTCCTTTTTTGACCTAATTTTTTTTCTTTTATAAATAAAAAATAAAAAAAAAAAAATGAGTCAAGAAATAGAATCCGAATTTAATCGATTAAATATCTCTTCTGATGATTCTAATCCAATAAATCTAAACTGTACCTATTGTAAAAAGCCATTTGCTGAAGAATTATGGTGTAAAGAGTGTGACCCATATAAGGTAATTGAAGGATGGACAAGTGGAAATCCTAACGTTGATAAATTAATTAAAGACATAATGCACGATGCGAAACCTTTAAAATTTCTCGAATGGGTTCCCTTTGATAGATTTACAGATATTAAAGAAATTGGCGAAGGTGGATTTTCCAAAGTTTACACCGCAACATGGATAGATGGTAATTCAAAATTTGAAAAGACGAATGATGAAAGTTGGAAAAGATTGGATTCTGAACCCATGGAAGTCGTTTTGAAAAGGTTAAATGGATCACAGAATGTGTCAACTGAATTTCTTCATGAGGTATATTTACATCATGATCATATACGTATGTTCTTAAAGTTGTGTTGTATAATAATAATAATTTATAATTATTTTTTATATCATAGCTTAAAATACATTGGGATATATGTAATAGTTATAATTCAGCGTTAAAATTTTATGGGTTAACTAAAGATCCGGTAACCAAAGAATTTATGATGATTGTGGAATTCGCAAGCATGGGAAATTTGAGGAGTAATCTTTCAAAAAACTTTATCAATATTTTATGGAAAGACAAAATTAAATTTTTGCTTCATTTAATATTTGATCTTGCGCATTTACATAGTTTAGAATATTGTCATAAGGATTTTCATAGTGGGAATATCTTACAAAATAAGGGAAATACATATCTTTCGGATTTCGGTTTATCTAGACCAACTGATAAGCAAAAGTCGTCAAAGGATCAAATATATGGAGTATTGCCATATATCGCTCCAGAGGTTTTGAATAGAGAACCGTATACTTTGGCATCTGACATTTATAGTTTTGGTGTAATCATGACCGAATTATCATCAGGAACACCTCCATTTCATAATAGGAAACATGATATAACTTTAGCCTTGGATGTTTGTAACGGACTTCGTCCAGAATTTGGTAAAGGAACTCCCGAATTTTACAAGAAGTTGGCTTACAGGTGTATGAATGCTATTCCAATTCAAAGACCTACGATTAATGATTTAAGAGCTATATGGGTTTTTTGGTACAATTCTATTTATTATTATGAGGGATTCAAAAATGATAAAAAGTACGGATATTATGGAAGGGAAATAAAAAAAGCATTTGAAGAAGCGGATAAAGAGATAGTAAATATATCAACCTCATATAAAAATAATCCCGATGCTATTTATACAAGTAGAGCTTTTACATTCAATAATTTAGCAAAACCTACTAATTCTTCTCTTATTACTTCATATCTCAAGAAGGATGATGGAGATTCTCAAATAATTGACTTGGAATTTCTGGCACAAAATATAACTGACGATTTAAATTTATGAATGTAATTTATTCGATTTGATGATTTTTTTTGTATATCTTAAAATGGTTTACAATTTATTACATTTAAGGTTACCAAGTTAATAATCGCACGAACAAACGTTCAAACTACAGTAAATTGTTTCAATATCGTTATTTCTAAAAAATAAAATAAAATAAATAAAATCATATAAACTACAAAAAAAAAAAACTAATGATAAAGAAATCAAATAATACCGCAAATTATCCACTTTTTTTTTTTTTTTGTAATTTTATCATAACATTTATAAATTTTCTTTTATCATATTGTCTTTTTACCCATGCATGTTATTTATATTTTACTGTAAATATTGTTAAATTATTATGATGAATATCACCTTAGTAATGATTTTTTACAGTGAAAGAAATGATCCGTCTAAGTGAAAATTTATTAACACAACTATTTAATGATATAAATCAAAAATTCCCTAGAGTGGCTACACTGGAGGAAAGTGCTAAAGCATTCTGGCTACATATCATCGACAAAAATAAGAAGGATCAGATAAGTGTAGGATATTGTTGTCCAGAGTTCTGGGTAAGAATTCCTTAGCATGGATGGAGGAATACAGGAAGCACTGCGAGGTCAATTTTCTTCCAAGCACTGTCGAATTTTGTTAATTTTGTTCACAGGAATGTGAAGGGCATATGTGTCAATTAAATGCCGGTGCCACATCAATAATAACGTGCTTATTTACAATTTCTAGAATAATTAGAAAAAGTGGATTCAAAAAACTTAATTCGGTTTTAATAACACCTATCATGGATTATGCAATAATCTTCAGCATCAATTCATTTACTGCATTGCGCTAACACCCGGAAGCAAGAAAATTTCCCAATCAAGAAGAATTTATCAACGTGATAAATCATATATGGTTGATACTATGTCAAAAACAACAAGTATATACGGACGTAGTATGCAAATAAAATTTTAAGATTAGTTTATACCAACACCATTAACAAAACTATTGTGTGATAACGTGTGGAATATATTTATTCTCAGTGATTTCGCTCACATCTATTATACTGCTAGTCTGGAGCCACGTAATATCAACCTTTGTTTTAGTATCATTCTTTTATACATAAAAAAAAATTTATTTCGTCAATTATTCTTTTTTTAAATGATTTTACTTATTCAAGAACTTTTCAAACCTTTCTTTCGCAATATATATAGGAAATAGGTATTGTATAAACTAAATTTATTTTCATAAATTAAAATGCTAACAAAAATGAATATCTCAAATTTATCGAATATCTCATTATTACAAGTTCTTGTAATGTTATTAATATCATAATGAAATAATTTCATTTAATTATAATTGTTGAATAATCATTGATATCAATATATAATTTGAGCATTAAAATAAATTTAATCCCTCCCAAAATTTTCTTGTTCCCTTATACTTTCTTTGTATTGTATTTGCATAAATTGATGCACAGGGTATACCAAGTTGTATTAATTCTCACCATTAAAATTAATTGAAAATAACTATGTAAATAATAATTCAACATTTAACAAATAAATAAATACTTACTTTTTGATCTTCTATCAAAGCTTTTAATAGACTAACAACTATTGTTATTCCTTCAAAAATTAACGTGAAAATTACATAACATAATGTCTTTCCTCCTCCAGTTTTGAGTGATACAAGTGTATCTTTACCATTTAAGTATATTTCTATAGCTTCAATCTGTTCTTCACGCAAATGTTCATATCCAAATATTTTTTGCACAGCTAATTTTATTAATTCCTTTAAATCCAAAATTGGAAATAATTCAGACGCTGATCAATGCTGATCAACTCCAATCAAACAAGCGATTCAACTATAAATCAGCCTAAAATTGGTTTCCAGTATCAATTCAGCAACAATTCAGATGTCGATTGATGTCAATCGACTCCAATTGGACAAACAATTTCGCATCAATAATCAATACATTTTATTTATTAAATTTATTAAATATTAAAATTTTATTAATAATAAAAACCTAATATAAATTTGCAAAAATATAAAAAAATAACAAAAAAAATATCACTAAAATCTACTGATTAATTTTCTATTAAAAATAGAATAATAAAATAATAAATTATGATCTATTTCCTCTCAAAATCCCCTTAAATCATCCTAAATATAAATAAATAAATAAATAATATATGATAAAAATATAATCTATTTCTTCTAAAATCATCCAAAAAATGTAAAAATAATAAATATAAAATGTAAAAAATAGAAAATCAACCCTAAATCGCCTGAAAAACGTAAAAAATAATTAATAAAATTAACCTATTCCTACTCAAATCACTTGAAAAAATGTAAAGATAATAATAAAAAATTGACCTGTTATCACATCAAATTACCTGAAAAAACGTAAAGATAAAAAATTAACCTGTTTCCCAAATCACCTAAAAAAAATATGTAAAAAATAATTAATAAAATTAACCCGCTTCCACCTTAAATTGTCTAAAAGTTCATCCTTTACCATTATCTATTATGGAATCATCTTCACTTTCTTCAGCAACAGATGAAACTCCCTTTTGACTTTAGTATATTTCTCGATTTCAGTTACATATTCTTCTATAATTGTAACTTTTGCTTTAATCTCAGTATCGTAGACCATATCAGGTTATACTTTATATAACTACTTTGAAGTATTGTAGGGATATGACCGGTTATAATGCTGCATATCATCATTGTATTTTCTCTTTTGTTAAATTTGAGATGATGATGAAGCAACAACACAAAAATCAAGTATTTATCTCAGTAAATTTTTTAGCTAAAAGAAGAAAATAAGAAAGAATATTAGTGGAATATAATAAATAAATTCAAAATATGCTAAATTAGATAAAGAAAATAATAAACCTCAGCTGATTGCTAAGAATAGTCATATATAGTGATAACAGATCTTTGACGATTTTTTTCATCCATTTTGCTGATTTCTAGTAAATGGTATAAATGATTACTGAGAATTCAGAGTAAAGGTCACCTTTCGTATTTTGTAATTCATTAGTTATTTTCTTTAAACAAATACTTTGCGACCTTTACTTGCTAAGCTATTTTCTAATAAATAATAAATAATATTAAATTATTGATTCAAATAGACCCAAATTCAGAATATATTCTATTTGCTTACTTTATATACTTGATTATTATTATGAATTCATCACAGCTCTGAAGGGCTCTTTCTACTTTTCTTAATTCTTCGAGCTGACTGACGTGACTTATAGAAAGTTTTCAGTTAGTTCATAAGTTGATCAATAGAAAGCTGAAGATTCAGAGTTAAGGACTTTCGTAATTCTGAAATTAAACTATGATATAATACAGCATTTTTCTCACTATTAAGATTTGTTATAGTCTAAATTGTCCTTTGAACTGATAGTTTTTAAAATCACCTTTATTTTAGCCTAAATACGAAAAGCAGAAAAAAAATAGTTAAAAATTTAAATTATTTAGATATAAATTCAAACATACTCTGACTCCTTTTATGTCAGCTTCTTTTGTTGTCAAATTATTGTCATTCTCAGAATTGTTATACGTCAATTCCAATTTATCATCAGTATAATACACTGGCATTTTTCTCTTTGATTTTGATGATGATTTTCTGATTTTTCTTCATTTTGCAAGAGGATCAGTATCAGACTGCTTTAATGATTTGGGTAATCATAATCTCTCAAATTGGTTAAGTTTTAAATATTAAAAAATAAAAATTAGTCATTATAAATATAAGATATTAATATATGAATGTTTATCTCTCCTGTAAATCTTTATTTTCCTTGCTGAATATCTTATTTATTTCAGTAAGAAATCAGTTTTCCTCAAGAGATCAGAATTTTATCATTCCAATTTCTTGATTCTCTTAGTAAATTCAACAAGTTTTTCTTTTAACATTCGATTCTTTATGTAAGAATAAAGAAAATATATTGTTAATTATAAAATAATAAATCAAAATAAATCAAAAATAATATATCTAATTCTAAATAGTTTGAATCATCAAAAATCTTGAATTCAACTACAGCTAAAGTACTTGCAATTGATTATCATCAAAATTTTGATAAGAGCTGAATTTTCCATATCATCTTTGCATTTCTTCTAAATCTATGTCTATAATTTAAAAAGTTATTTAGTATTAATATAAAAATAGTATTATATTATAACTAACTTATGATCTAAAACAATCAATTCATCTTCAGATAATATTATATAGACGCATTTTTGTCTTTTTTCCATAGAAAAGAAAAAAATCAGTTAACGTTTGAAAAATTGACTAATTGATTAATAAAATTCAACTTACGTTTTAGCTCTTCATTAGCCAATTTATTTTGTTGAGAGCATTTTGTTAACGTTGCTATTGATTAAGGTTCTATTGTAAAAAACAAAAAAAATCAGTTATCATTTGAAAAATTGACTGGTTGATTGATAAAATTCAACTTACGTTCTTTTTGTTCTTATGACAATTTTTTATTTAGCATTTTAGTGACATTTTGCAAAAAAAAAAATTGTAAAAAAAAAGAAATTAAAAGAAGAAATTTGATTGTAGAGATAAAATTTGATTTAAAAAAATAAAGTTTGAATTGAAATTATTTTTTTAAGAAGTGAAAAAATCAAACTTATTTATATAAATTTTTATATATATGTCAGAAATAAACTCAAATAGTTATATCTGATAATATATTAAATCAATATAATACTTAAAATAAATTAGAACAATTATCAATATAATATAATACTTTAATTATGCATTAAAAAAGACTTAAAGTAAATCAGAAACAATTTATCAATATATTAAATCAAAATGCATTTAAGTAAATCAGAAACAATTTATCGATATATTAAATCAAAATGCATTTAAGTAAATCGAAAACAATATTTTCATCATATATTAAATTAATATAAAATTCAGAAAGTAAATCAGAAACAATACTTTTATCATGCATTAAATCAATACAAAATTCAGAAATAATTTATTGATGCATTAGATCAAAATGTACTTAAAGTAAATTGAAAATAATTTATCAATATATTAAATCAATACAAGATTTAGAAATAATTTATCAATACATTAAATCAAAATACATTTAAAGTAAATCAGAAACAATACTTTTATTATACATTAAATTAATATAAGATTTGAAAACAATTTATTGATGCATTATATCAAAATAACTTAACAAAATAGTTATAAATATTACAATTATTTTAAAAAGAAAATTTGTTTAATTGTTTATACTTACTAAAAAAGAAAAATAATAGTTTAGTATAATAATATAAATATTTGCGAAACTACTGCATTTTTTTAAAAAATATAAAATTCAATTAAAATTATTCTTAAAAATAACTCTATTTTGAATTTATATTTTTCTCTTAATTTCTCAATTATAAAATAAAAATGAGCTGAAAAAGGTCAATTTTTAAATTACATGATGATAATAATGATGATTTATCTAGTCATCTTCTAATATATCTTCTTATAGAAGAAATAGATCAATTCCTAGATTAATCAATGAAGATATTTCTACTTTTCAATCTTCAAATATACCTTCTTGTAGAAGAACAAGTAGATCAATTGGTGATTTAACTGATAAAGAAAATATATCTAATTTTAGACTATCAACCTCACATAATATTAGAGTTAGATATTAAGATTCACAAAGTTCTATTTTGGATACATTTCATCAATTCAAAATATAAGACGAAATGAAAGAATCATCAACATCAACTTTGACTGAACAAATTATAGAAATTATCAAACATGAATCTAATGATAGATATCAAGAAGATTTTGATTCTACTTTTTTATCTTAGAGATATGTAAGAAAA